GTGAACCCTTAAAAAGCCTCTTTTTTTTCCTGCATACCTCTTAATTGGAAGGATCAGCTGGTCTCTCAACAAAATCGATCAACTTCTCCCGACAGGAGTCAGGGTAAGGAGGACCCCTCTGACCTCTTTAAGGAACAAATTGGATTCATGATGACAACTAGATTCTACTGTTTGGGTTGGTGAAATCTGGTTGTCTACAAATTCGTGTGGAGGTGTTGAAGCTTGACAGTGCTCGGACTGAATGTGGAGCTATGACGGAAATGGAGCAGCTGTTATCAGGACTGTGATCTCCCTGGCAGCACTCATTAATGGTGGAATAATCTGGAGAAGCTGTGAACTCGACTTTTGGAGTAAAGGATCAATTCGGCTGTTTTGGAGTTTCCATCAGCGAATATGTACAGCAAGACTTTAAAGGCAGAAACAACAATTCACGAGGAGTTTTGCCTGACCCAAACTGTGGCCTTGATGCCGGACTTATCTCAACTCCTCCTGGAATGTTTTGAGAACAACAAAGATGCTTTGACTCTTTCCTCACCCCTCCCTTCCCCAAGGCCGTGGACATGTAACAGAACCTCAACTGAGCTGAAGATGAACGTCACCTCTTATCTGGGCAATGGCTGAGGGGGGGCTCTGGACTATGCTACGACTTTCCCTTAAAAAATTCAATGTTTTCACCGCCTATATGTACATGTATAACGTCTGTTTATGTTGCTTTGCTATGGTAGGTTTTTTTGATGCCTCAAATTGTGCCCTGTCTAGGACACGGTGTGAGAGATCTTTTTTTTTATACCGTCTCTTCTCATGTTTTCTTTCCTTTTCTTATCTAAGCAAAATATTATTCTGAATAAGAATAAGAAGGCCACGCTAACTATTTATAGCCGCAGCTTTGTGCACTTCGCCCATCTTCAGACGACTGTACATACATATTCGCGTTGTATCTCGGTGCAATGCCGATAAAGTTTATTCTGATTCTGATTCTGAAAGACCCGGTAGACCCAAACGTGTAGTGAGGGTTTGCTGGGAACGCCTGGTAGAAGAACCCGTCAGAGAGATCTTCCACTCACACCTCTGGGAGAGCTTTAACCACATCCCAATTGAGGTTGGGACATTGAGTCTGAGTGGGCCATGTTCCGCACCTCGCTTGTTGAGGTAGCTGCCTTGAGCTGTGGCTGCAAGGTTGTCTGTGCTTCTTGCAGTGGTCATCCACGAACTCAGTGGTGGACACCTGGGTTAGGGAGGCTGTCAAGCTGAAGAAGGAGTCCTATCGGGCCTTGTTGGCCAGTGGGACTCTGGAGGCAGCTAAGGAGTACCCGAGGGCCAAGCGGTGTGCAGCCTTGGCTTTTGCCGAGGCGAAAGCTCGGATATGGGAGGAGTTCGGTGAGACCTTGGATAGAGACTCTTGGTCGGCTCCGAGGAGATTCTGGCAATCCATCAGGCGGCTGAGGAGGGGAAAGCAGCACTTTACTAGCACTGTGTTCAGTGAAGGTGGGGAGCTGTTGACCTCAACCAGTGATGTCATCGGGAGGTGGAAGGAATACTTCTCGGACCTTTTCAAACCCACCAGCACGTCTTCCATGGAGGAAGCTGAGTCAGGTGACTTTGGGGATGATCCATCCATAACTGTGGCTGAGGTCGCCGAGGTAGTTAAAAAGCTCCAAGGCAGCAGGGCTCTGGGAGTGGATGAGATTCATCCTGATTTCTTTAATGCTGGATGTTGTGGGACTGTCTTGGCTGACACACCTTTGCAACATTGCGTGGACATCAGGGGCAGTGCTACTGGACTGGCAGACTGGGGTGGTAGTTCCTCTCTTCAAAAAGGAGGACCGGAGTGTGTGCTCCAATTATAGGGGCATCACTCTCCTTAGCCTCCCAGGTAAGGTATATTTGGGGGTACTGGAGAAGTGAGTCCAATCGTTGGTCAAACCTCAGATCTATGAGGAACAATGGGGGTTCTGTCCTGGCTGTGGAACACTGGATCAGCTCTTTACCCTCACTAGGGTTCTTGAGGGGTCATGGGAGTTTGCCCATACAGTCTACATGTGTTTTGTGGATTTGGAGAAGGCATTCAACCGTGTTCCTCGGGGTACACTGTGGGGGATGCTCCATGAGTATGGGATTGGAGGCCCGTTGTTATTGACTGTTCAGTCCCTATACAAGCAGTGCGAGAGTTTGGTTCACATTGCTGGCAGTAAGTCGGACCCCTTCAGGGTGGAAGTTGGACTCCACCAGGGCTGCGTGTTGTCACTGATTCTGTTCATAACTTTTATGGACAGAATTTTTCGGTGCAGCCAGCTGGTGGAGGGTTTCCGGTTTGGTGGCCTCAGGATTCCATCTCTGCTCTTTGCAGATGATGTGGTCCTGTTGGTGTCATCGTGCCGTGATCTTCAGCTCTCACTGGAGCGGTTCACAGCCGAGTGTGAAGCAGCTGGGATGAGAATCATCACCTCCAAATCTGAGGCCACGGTCCTCAACTGGAAAATGGTGGATTGCTCTCTTCAGGTTGAGGGTGAGGTTCTGCCTGAAGTGGAGGAGTTCAAGTATCTCGGGGTTTTGTTCACGAGTGAGGGAAGAATGGCGCGTGAGATTGACAGACGGATTGGTGCAGCATCTGCAGTATTGCAGACTCTGCACCGGTCCATTGTGGTGAAGAGAGAGCTGAGTTGTAAGGCAAAGCTATCTGTTTACCGGTCGGTCTACGTTCCTACCCTCACCTATGGTGATGAGCTGTGGGTAGTGACCGAAAGAATGAGATTGCGGATACAGGCAGTTGAAATGAGTTTTGTCCACAGGGTAGCTAGACTCTCCCTTAGAGATAGGGTGAGAAGTTTAGTTATTCGGGAGAGACTAAGAGTAGAACCGCTACTCCTCCACATCGAGAGGAGCCAATTGAGGTGGTTCGGGCATCTGGTAAGGATGCCAACTGGGCGCCTCCCTAGAGAGGTGCTTCGGGCATGTCCAACTGGGAGGAGACCCTGGGGAAAACCCAGGACACGCTGGAGAGACAATGTTTATCGGTTGGCCTGGGAACGCCTTGGAATCCTCCCAGAAGAGCTGGAAGAGGTGGCTGTGGAAAGAGATGTTTGGGCCTCCCTGCTCAAGCTGCTGCCCCCGCAACCCGACTTCGGTATAAGCGGAAGATAATGGGTGGATGGATGTTCATAACCTTTTACTGCTCCTTTCACATTTTGTTCTGCTTCAGCTTTTTTTAGCTTCCTTCTGCAAATTTAAACATTTTTTCAGCTACTTTTAGCTGTTTTTTAAGCTGTTTTGTGCTCCTTTCAGAGTCTTTCTGCTAACTACAACATTGCTGTGCTTTTTATAACTTTTTTCAACTAATGTCAGCTTGTTAGGCTCCTTCAGCTTATGTATGCAAGTTTCAGCTTTTTCTGCTATTTCAACTAATTCCACATTTTTTTGCATTCATTTAAAGGTTTTTCAGTCTAATTCAGGAAAAATGTGCTCTCTCCACTTCTTTCTGGTAATTTAAACTTCTTTCTGCCTTTTTAGCTACGTTTCAGCTTTTTTGGTTGTTGTTGCTAATTTCAGCTTTTTTCAGATAATTTTCACATTTTGTGCTCATTTCTGATTTTTTCAGCCTAATTGGGCAAACTTGTTTTTTCTGCTTTCTTCTGCTAATTTAAGCTTGTTCTAATTTTTCAGCTACTTTTTTTTTTTTTTTTTTTTTAGCATTTTTTAGCTAGTTTCAGCTGTTTTCAGATAAATTCAACTTTTTCATGGTAATTTTGGATACTTTCAGCATAATTAACTTCTTTATACTAATTTCAGCTTGTTGTGCTCCTTTCAGCTTTTTTCTGCTAGTTTCAGATTTTTTTTTTTTTTTTGCTCTTTCAGCTACTATTTAGCTCTTTTGATGCTGTTTTTAGCTTTTTCAGGTACATCCACATTTTTAGCTAATTTCAGCTCTTTCCTCTTACTTCTGGTAGCTTAAGCTTCTTTCTACCTTTTCAGCTATTTTTCACCAATTTGTTGCTAATTTCAGCCTATTTTTTAACTAATTTACTACAAGTATTTTTTTATGCTAATTTCTGTTCATTTTAACATAATTCAGCAAAAATGTGTGTCCTTTCTACTTTCTTCTGCTAAATTAGGCTTGTTCTTCCATTTCAACTACCTTTCAGAATTTTATTTTATTTTTAAGCAATTTCAGCTGTTCCAGCAAGTTATTCTACAATAAACATTCAGTTTCTCTAGCTTTCCTAGAGGTCAGAGTTTGTACTTGGCTGCTTTGATGTCGATGGTTCCTTTCAGCTTCTCCTCGCTGTCGTTGTCATAGTACATCAGCTTGCTGTCCCTCAGGACAAACCAGCGCATCTTCCAGTTCCTGAGGTTTAAAAACAGAAGAAGACCAGAGGAAATGATCAGAAATGTGTTGCAGGCTTTCAGTTTGTTTGTATGAAAACTGAGCTCAGGCTCAGGTAGAACAACCTCCGGGACAGAGTGGACAGGCCTCCTCCTTTCTTGTAGAGCCATCCTGACTTCAAGGACTCCTGTTTGGACCGGAACCACATGAAGGTCTCATCTTTCAGCACGCACCAACGCCTCCTCCATGGGATCATCAAACCGGCTGAAGGAACACAAAATACATATTTACATACAGGAAAATAACTTTACTAACATGATTTAGACCTGAACTCACTGCAGCAGCCTCTTTATAATCTATTGTCATGTCTGTCAATCAAATCAACAGTTATACAAACTCAGTTGTAACTTTAGAGTTTATTAAACAAGTGTGGAAATCTAAATTACAATCACTGACTTATGTCATTAAATTATACTGTAGTTTGATAAACTGACTCAATATAAATAAATGGAAATTCACACAAAACCATGATGCAGACAAGAAGTATTTAGCAGATTACCCTAAAGACAGAATTTTATCTCCAGAAAATAAAATCATGTTCTTTAAAATCAGGACGTAGTTTTCAAAAATATAATCTGGACAACGATTTTGTTTTTGTTCTACTAAACCATAAAGTACCTGAGCTGCTGAAGTGCTGGTTCTGTCCTCCATCTTCAAAATGTACTACTAGCACTTCAGAGGCTCAGGTAGGCATCACTTTATGGCTTAGTGGGATTTAATAAAATCATTGTTCAGATATATACAGGTGCTGGTCATAAAATTAGAATATCATGAAAAAGTTGATTTATTTCAGTAATTCCATTCAAAAAGTGAAACTTGTATATTATATTCATTCATTACACACAGACTGATATATTTCGAATGTTTATTTCTTTTAATGTTGATGATTATAACTGACAACTAATGAAAACCCCAAATTCAGTATCTCAGAAATTTAAAATATCACTTAAGACCAAAAAAAAAAAGATTTTTAGAAATGTTGTCCAACTTCAAAGTATGAACATGAAAAGTACGAACATGTACAGCACTCTAACATTTTTCAGTCAGGTCATCTGGACAGTTTTTTTTTTTTTTTTGTGCTGAAGCGTTTCGTCTTCGATCCGGAAGGCTTCATCAGTCAAGGAAACACAACAAAACTGATTCTTCCTCCAACAGCTTACTCCAAAGTGGAACAAACTAGTTCTGCTTGTGATAAGATGGTCTCTTTGGTACGCCCCCTCCTCCATTGCCGGCCCTCTTTCTTGTTGACAGTCTTGTCAAACTGGTTGAAAACAACAAAGTCCATGGACATGAACGTTTCAGCACTAAAAAAAAAAAAAGAAACTGTCCTGGATTATTGAGCATGGACTTTGATGTACAGCACTCAATAGTTAGTTGGGACTCCTTTTCCTGGATTACTACAGCAATGTGGCGTGGCATGGAGTCGATCAGTCTGTGTCACTGCTCAGGTGTTATGAGAGTCCAGGTTGCTCTGATAGTGGCCTTCAGCTCTTCTGAATTGTTGGGTCTGGTGTATCACATCTTCCTCTTCACAATACTCCATAGATTTTCTATGGAGTTAAGGTCAGGTGAGTTTGCTGGCCAATTAAGAACAGGGATACCATGGTTCTTAAACCAGGCACTGGTAGCTTTGGAACTGTGTGCAGGTGCCAAGTCCTGTTGGAACATGAAATCTGCATCTCCATAAAGTTGGTCAGCAGCAGAAAGCATGAAGTCTCTAAAACTTCCTGGTAGACGCTGCGTTGACCTTGGACTTCAGAAAACACAGTGGACCAACACCAGCAGATGACATGGCCCCCCAAACCATCACTGACTGTGGAAACTTGACACTGGACCTGAAGCAACATGGATTCTGTGCCTCTTCTCTTCCTCCAGATTCTGGGACCTTGAATTTCAAAGGAAATACAAATTTACTTTCATTACAGAACCTAACTTTGGACCACTCAGCAGCAGTCCCAGGCGAGATGCTTCTGACGCAGTCTCTTGTTCAAGAGTGGCTTGACACAAGGAATGCGACAGCTGAAACCCATGTCTTGCGTATGTCTGTGCATGGTGGTTCTTGAAAAACTGACTCCAGCTGCAGTCCACTCTTTGTGAATCTCCCCCACATTTTGGAATGGGTTTTGTTTCACAATCCTCTCCAGGGTGCAGTTATCCCTATTGCTTGCACACTTTTTTCTACCACATCGTTTCCTTCCCTTCACCTCTCTATCAATGTGCTTGGACACAGAGCTCTGTGAACAGCCAGCCTCTTTAGCAATGACCTTTTGTGTTTTGCCCTCCTTGTGCAAAGTGTCAATGTTCATCTTTTGGACAACTATCAAGTCAGCAGTCTTTGCCATGATTGTGTAGCCTCCAGTACTAGACTGAGACAATTTAAAGGTCTTTGCAGGTGTTTTGAGTTAATTAGCTGATAAGAGTGTGGCACCAGGTGTCTTCAATATTGAAGCTTTTCACAATATTCTAATTTCATGACCAGAACCTGTATACTTGAGAATCACATTCGGTAGCGCTGGCACCCTCCTCCATCTTTGAAATGTTCAACCCTTCCAGGACCTGCAGCTCAGAGAGGTGCCACTCTGACAGCCAAACCATCTGTTCTCTGATTGGACCATTAAATTTGTGATTGACATGACATTGACCAATCAGCTAAGAGAAACATTCTGTTATAATTTCTAATTGTAAATTTAAACTCACGCAGAGTTTTGCTTTGTATCTGTAAACAAAAACAAAGTATATTGAGTAAGGTTTTCTTTTACAAATACATATTTTTACACGCACACATTTCTATCTACACATGTACAATTCTCAGCCATTTTACTTTACACGATTACAAAACTTAAATCACATGCAGTGAAATTTACAAGCACAAAATGTATATGACTAAAGTTTGTGCCACAGTCAGTTTAATGTGAATTTTGATAGTTTTCCTCCTTTGGAGAGTTTGTACGCAAACTGTTTACTAAAGCATGTGCTCAAAGTTAACTCTAAATAAAATGCTGCATTTATAAAACTGGCTTTGAAAGAGATGGAGTACTAAAACAGACCTGGGGATCATTAGGAGCTTTGTGTGTCAAATTGTAAATTATTGTAGATTTTAGTGAACTACTCAAAGCTAAATGTTTTTGTTAAAAAACATATAAAAGTGTAAAAAAATATAACTGTCCACACCTTTCATGTAGAGGTAGCCGTGGAAGTATGGTGGAGCGTTTCCATTGAGTAAAGTCACTCTGCCATTCGTCACCTCTTCATCAGTGTCCATCACGCCGTCATGCTCATCATCACTGTCTGCATACTGCAACATCACACGACAACTATTCACTGCTGTGCTGCTTTAAAAGAGTTTAAATGTGATGCATTACAAGTTCATCAGTAGAGTGAGGTGAACGTCTGAGAGGTTTACTGTGGAGCTGTTCATACATGTCTGAGTGCACGCATGTAAGTGTGTGTCCTCACAGAGTCAGAGCTGCCTCTGTAGGACTCCACGCTGGTGTTGGTGCAGGTCGACTTCCTCGGGTGCTCCTCATCCGTCACAGCAGTGCTCCCGCGGTTGCTTCCTGACACGGAGCTGTCGTCTCCGGCGGTGACGGAGCCGTCTTCCTCCTCCTGGTCGTAGTCTGATTCTGTGTCGGCTGGCATGCTGTAGATGGGCTCCTCTCCATCTACCAGGCTTTCCACCATGCTCACCTTCCTCTCTAGCTCCGACTTGGCTTCCTCCTTGATCGCCTCCTCTCCTGGGAGAGGTGGCGGAGGAGGATGTGGAGAGACGGCAGCACTGTCTCCGGGTGGAGGAAGAGGAGGAGGGGGAGGAATTCCACTGGCAGCGATGCCGTCTGTGGGCAGGGGCGGAGGAGAAGGTGGCGCCGGGGGGACTGTTCCCTCGGCGAAGGCAGGTGGAGGAGGGGGGAGGTGAGTAAATATGTCTTGAACCAGAGGAGAATCTGACTCAGCAGGAGGAGGGAAGTCCGGCAGAGGGATGCACTCCTCCTCAGCGTGGAAGCCTTCATCTACATCTTCCTCCTTGGACGCCCCTCGGGCGGTGCTTGCCCCCTTTGCAGTTTTCACCTCGGCTGCAGCTTCCATTGTGGGGTCCACCCCCCCGAAGTTCAGGAGGTCGATCAGCTCGGTTGCTTTGCGGGACGCCTCCTTTTTCATCCTCTTGAGCTCAGCATCCCGGCGCAGCTGGAGCTCCTGTTTGGAGGACTCGCAGAGCTGCGACACCTCGTCCTCTCGTTTTTTCTGCAGACGCTCGATCTCTCGTTCCAGCTGCAGGATCTCCTCCATTTGGCGAGCTTCCTCCTACAGAAAATCAGTGAAGTAGTCAGTGTCTAATCATCCAGTTAGAAATATTGACTATATTATATACATGGTTTCAGAGAAAACAGATCTACATCAATGGCATTGATGCAGTTAACAGAAGAAATCATAGACAGTATGGATAAAAGGAAATTTTCAATTGGTGAATTTCTTGATGTCAAGAAAGCATTTGATACCATCAATCATGGTATCGTGCTGAAAAAGCTAGAAAGCTATGGAATTAGGGGGGTAGCATTAAATTGGATTAGAAGCTACATTGGACAAAGGAAACAGTTTGTACAAATAGGTAATCACAAATCAGAATTATTAAATATAACTTGTGGGGTCCCACAAGGATCAGTGTTGGGCCCAAAAATATTTAATTTGTATATAAATTACATATTCAAAGTATCAAACCGGCAAAAATACATTATATTTGCAGATGATACTAGCATTTTCTGCACTGGAGAAAACATCCAACAACTCTCTGAGGTGGTCACAACAGAAACAAAAAAACTAAAACATTGTTTCAAAAACAATAAATTATCACTAAATTTAGATAAAACAAAATTGATGATATTTGGAAACCACAATAAACATAAAAACAATGCAATCAAAATAACTATCGACAGTGTTGAGTTGGAAAGAGTCCATGAAATCAATTTTCTAGGTGTTATACTGGATGATAAATTTTGCTGGAAACCACAGATTTGCAAAGTAAAATCTAAATTTGCCACAAGTGTTGCTGTTTTGAGGAGAGTAAGATTTGTTCTGGACTACAAACCTCTGTTTATTTTATATAATACTCTCGTTGTACCATATCTGAGTTATTGTGTGGACGTTTGGGGTAATACATACAAAACAAACTTACAGTCGCTGTACACATTACAAAAAAAAGCAATCAGACTATTACATAAAGTGGGATATTGGGAACATACAAATCCATTATTTTTTTTTTAATCAAATGTACTGAAATTCTGGGACCTTATAAAATTCAAAACTATACAATTTATGTTCAAAGTAAGAAAGTGTCAACTTCCACACAATATTCAAAAAAAAGTTTTGTGACAGAGAGGGGTGTTATAATTTAAGAGGAGAAAGAAAATTTAAAAAACAATGTATCAGAACAACCAAAAAGAGTTTTTGTATACGAGTGTGTGGAGTAGATCTATGGAATGATTTAAATGATGAGCTCAAACAAAGTACAAATATAAGTCGGCTTAAAAAAACTTTATAAAAATGAGCTTATTGAAAAATATTTTGTATAGGATGGGAGTTTCAAAAACCAAAAATGCTACTGCTGATATTAATAAAGTGTAAATAATTGTCCATTCAACGATGAGAATGTGAGCTTTAAGCATCATTTAATGTGTGAGTATTATAAGGGTTATTTGGTGTGGGGAGACTAAATGATTGTACATTGATGAGTATGACAGGAAATCATAAGAGTGTTTTCTTCTACCTGCTCCTTTTCGAACAAATTGTGTAAAATTGCATGACTGTTATTATATTTTTCCTCTTTCTTTGTTTTTACTTTTTATTGTCGTTTGAAATAAATAAATAAATAAAAATAAATCAATATTATATACATTTTGTGTACTCTTGTTTTTACTTGTACAAATCATCCAAGAAAAGCAGAACTCGCCTCTGATGTTTTGGCTTTCTTCTCGTCTTCTTCCGTCCCTTCTTCTTTCTCCTCCTCACCCATCTTTTTCGTCTCTTCCTCCTCTTTCTTTCTTTGCTCCTCCTCCTTCTTCCTCTTCTCTTCTTTGAGTTTGGAAACACGAGCACGTGCCACCTGGCCTCGTCTGTGTTTCTGCAGCACCAGCACGGCCTTGCGCTGCTTCACGAAGCGCTTGTGCTGGATGTGCCTTCGGAGGTGTTTCTGCAGGATGATGATGCTGGTGCGGACCTGTTTGAAATGCTTCCTGTAGGAAAACATGCATTAAAAGCCTAGCATTCCTTGAAGGAACCCACTTCATATCAGTCAAACCTTGTCAGTGAAGTTCGGTTGGATCTCATGCACTTGAAGCAGATGAAGTATATGTTGAACATGACTTTCAGTCACTAACAGTGAACCGAGTCACAGTAGTCCCTCGCTACTTCATGGTTCATTTATCGCAGACTCGCTCTATTGCAGGTTTTCAAATTAAAATTGGACATGACACACAAATGGCTGATTGATGGATGAGCCGCACAATAGGCATGGAATTTAAATACTGTAATATTTTAAATAAACAACCCATGCTGTGTGGATGGAAGCACGGTGGCGCAAATGGTAGAGCTGCTGCCTCTCAGCGAGCAGGTTCCTGGTTCAAACCCCGGTCCTGGGGCCTTTCTGGGTGGAGTTTGCATGTTCTCTCCGTGCATGCGTGGGTTTTCTCCGGGTACTCCGGTTTCCTCCCACAGACCAAAAACATGCATGTTAGGCTGATTGGTAACTCTAAATTGTCCCTAGGTGAGTGAGAGAGTGAATGTTTGTTTGTCTCGTTTGTCTCTATGTGTCCCTGTGATGGACTGGAGACCTGTCCAGGGTGTACCCCGCCCCTCGCACAGTGATTGCTGGACATGAGCACCAGCGACCCCCGTGACCCAAAATGGAATAAGCGGGTAAAGATAATGGATGGATGGATGGATGCTGTGTGAATTGTTTATTTAAAATATTACAGTATTGAAATTTAAATTGTTTATTTAAGGAGGGAGATTGGGAGTAACAGGTGATGAGTCAGTGTGATTGCAGCCTGGCACATGTCATGACAAAGTTTACTGAACTTGAACTTGGACTACTGTATCCCTACTTCACGGTTTTCAGTTATCGCGGGTGGGCGTGGTCCCAAACACCAGCGATAAATGAGGGATTACTATATATATATATATATATAGGGACCACGCCCACCCGCGATATATATATATATATATATATATATATACTTACTACTTGTACTAGTATTCTTGCTTTGCGGTTTTTCACATATTGCGGGTCTTCAGGGTACGGATCCCCTGTGATAAACAAAGGACTGCTGTATTACTATTTTTGTGTTGGCTAAGGTCGATCAAAAGTACTGGCCATCTTTGATTGAGTTTACTTCAAAGGTTTTTCAGTTGCAGATGGATATCTAAAGAAAAGTGTCTGAAAGTATAATTAAACTATAACTAGTGCTTAATTTGTAAAGCAAACAACACAAACAGGGGGTCCTCCACCAGAACATTTTAAATAAAGTGAGTGCCATTTCCTGCATCCTGGTGTATATTAAACATCTATGTTTACCTACATAAGTAAACAGTTGATTGAATAAACATGTTAGAGAGCAACAAGAAGTATCCTGACCAACAGCTCTCCTTGTGTGAATAGAGCACGCTCCACTTCTCCCAAGCATCCTATACCCCCCACCCAACCTGTCGAGCGCCATCTCCAGTGCCACAGCTTTCATGTGCTTCAATTCTCTGTTGTTTATTTGTACAATGAGAAGACTTTCTTAAAAAGAAAGTAAATTGGACTGTTTTTCAACATTTTGATCGCTATTATTTTGACAAATTGGTGCCGTTGTTTTCATATATGATGTACAGTAGCTATGTAACGCAATTATCTATCAAACATTTCTCTTGTATTTGTAATAATCAAAATTTTATTAATGACCCCCTTAAATTGTAAAACTGATTTGCAATTTATTTGTGCTTTTTAATTATATTTTTGTGTTTTTAATTAAATTGCCTGTGGCTGTACTTTTAGCGGTGAAGATTTTTTTAAGTGTAGAAGCTGACATGCTTACTTGAAGGAGCAGCTCTTATGTGATATTAGGAAGATCATAAGTGGCTGTTATGTTAAAAATGAGTGTTTATGTAATTATTTTCAGAATACATGTTCAATATAAGTTTTATCCGTTTAAGGCAGTCAAATTTGTTCATAATTATTATTAGTAATCCTGAGAGTTACCGGATCCAAGCAAACAGTTGCCGAAATGCACCCTGTCAAAATAAGAGTTCCCAGATCCTGTTCCAGCAGGATCCGGCTCAGATTAAGTCCTGACTATAACCAGTAGCTCAAGACATATTTTGCAAACCTTACTCACAATTGAACACATGACTACACTGACGTAAGCAAAACCATTATCGCCTGCATTTGGTGATGGATAACAAATGCAAAGTTGGTGTCAGGTTCTTTCAACCTTCTCCCATCCACCTTAAAACGTGAATTAGAAGGAGTCTTACTTTGCAGAGAAGGTGAGCAGATGTGCCCGGATTATCATGGCAGCCTGGCGGCGAACTTCATCCCGATCCTTCTCCAAAAGGTGCTCCAAAGACTCTTTCATGAACACCTACAAAAACAACGGGAGCAGGTGGAAATAGCTGAAGACACCGAAGAACGTTTCAAAGTCTGAAAGTATATTTCTTGGTCTTACCTTGGTCTTCCCTAACTGCCACTCCTTCTTGGTCTTGTCGTATTTGAATAAAAGGTCTGTGCTTCTTTTCTTATCATCTCCTGCTGCTGGAACCTTGTCTTTCAAGATGATCTTATATCTAACAACGAAACAGGATGGACTGAACAGAGGAGTCTTAGCTGCACTGCTTAAAAGGTGTAAAACGAATAAAATGCATATACAGTAAAATCGCAAAAGAAAAAATAAGTAAATGTAAGGATACTTGCCGTGAAAAAAAGTCTTTAAATGTTCTGCGAACGGGGAAACCAGCACGACGGATCTTCACTGTTTCCAACATACCGGAGTATCGCAGCTGATTCAGGACGATTTCTGGATCAAACACGCTTGGATTCTACCAGGATGATTAAAAAAGATTTATCATTCGAGGTAGAAAAACGTCGGGTGATGAGAAAGATCATTGATGTGAATCAGAGAACAGATAATATTTGTGGGAAGCAAAAACTCAAAGTGACCTTTTCCATGTTTGGTTTGATGCAGCGGATGAAGAACGGATTGGAAACACTGAGAGTGGCCATGAGAGCGTGAAGGGAGTCCTGAGGAAATAAGAAAATCTAATTATTTCTTAAATATTTCCAGTACCTACAGTTATTTTTTAAATATTTTCTTAGACCTCTTAGCTGTTTTTTGTTATATTCTTTGTTGTACTGTACTCTTTAAAACTACCATATTTTTTGGGACTATTAGGTGCACTTAAAATCCTTTAATTTTCTCAAAAATCTAGAGTTAATCTTATAATCAGGTGCGCCTTATGTATTAATCCTGGTTGTGCTTACTGACCTCGAACCGATTTTATGTGAGTATTGTGAATGAGTTGAATAAAGTTTGACTTATCTGACTGTTTTGTTTTGCTTAATGCGCCTTATAGTCTGAAAAATACGGTAATTTATGTTAAAAACAAGGCAGTTTCTCACCCTGAACTGGGAGCTCACTGTGGGTTTGCGTCTGGCTGTTCCCATTTTCTCCTCATTGTTTCTGCTGCCAACTTTCTCAAACAAGTCGTAGATGAAGTCCTGTCTGCAAAACAAAAGCAAAAAAATAATAAAAATCTAAATATTCCAAGTCATACCAATGGAAATATAACAGTGTGTCTGATGGTGGTGGTTTATAAATGTATACATTTTTATTAATTTGAGCCTTTTAATGGGGTTTATGAGCGTTTTAAAGATGCAACAATAATCATTTAGTCAGAATAACAGTTATATGCAGTGACTGACGTTTAGTAGTTTACAAGTTATTGTTTTTGTTGATTTGCATCAGTCAAAATCTTATAAAACTCACAATGTATCTTTTTCATTTAATCCTTATTAAAACTAGAAACACAGTGAGAATGCAGAGGGTTTGTGAAATGTTTTGAAGAAGCTGAAACTGAGTTGTTCAAGTTATAAGAAGCAGAACGCTACATAAACGCTAGAAGAACAGAACAGCAGCTAAAAGAAGTAAAAGATGAGCTAAAAACTGTCGGAACACGTGTTGCTAAAGGCAAAAAGTAGCAAGCCCAAAGCTAAAGGTATATAAAAAAAAGCCTAAAATCTAAAAGCAGAAAAAGGCTAGCTAAAGGCTAAAAGTAGAATAAGGTAGTTAAAAACTAAAAATAGCATAACATACAAAAGTTACCAAAAAACAAAAGCTGTAGCACTTATCTCCTAAAAGAGCTAAATGTTTAGATATATGAATGGCTAAATTAGCTTAAAGTAAACAAAAGTATTAGGAATGTCCCCCAAAAAACAACTACAGAAAATGAAACGACTGCTGAATCAGCATTCACACATTTAACATCAGCAACATCAGCTTCATCTTGTGAAACTGCAAATGTTTCTTTTAAACTCTGGGACCCTGTGTGCACAATTTCGTTCCACCTCATGTACCACACGTGATGCGAATGACAATAAAGAACCTTGACGTTGACTAAATGAATCTCTTGTTGTGGATCTGACCTGCTGTCCTTGAGCATGTTCAGGATGTCGTCTCTAAAAGTGTCTCTATTCTTCTCCAAGATTCCTCTGACGTCGTATAAAACCTGTTCAAGACGAACGCATTTCACAAATTTAGAGCAAATAATAAAGTGTGTGCATCAGAAAGTTGCTGATTTCTTCTGAGGTCACCTCTCCAGCGTAGTGTTTGATGCCAAACTGATGATCTGCCACTCTGGGCTTCACAAAGTACGGGTTGATCTGCAGAAAACCAACGAGAGATGCAAAATGAGTGAAGAATTGAGGCTTTATGAATGAAGTGCATGCAATAAATAAAAGAAGTAAAATAAAACTCACTGAGTGCCTGCTGTGCAGCTTCTCCAGCAGAGTGAAATCTGTCCCCTTGGGGAATCGGCTCTCTTCATTCACCAGTGCCAACAGGCCGAGTTTCTAAAACGAGGGAAAAAGCAACACAACATTTCCAGAGAGAATCAGCATCAGTTTAGATATTATAGATTATATTACAAAAGCTTTTGGAGTTATTGCAACAGCTGATCAACATTAAAAACACAAAAACACCTATAACTCAGCCAATTTAAAAGATTCTGGGCTGAATTTACAGACTGATTCTTAATGTGCTGTCCAAGTGTTAACAGACCGCATGAGAACTATCAGCTCTGTCTCTTAACATAAAATAATGTTTATGAAAGACATGAGACCATTTGCATTCATTTAAGGAATGCTCGTCCTTCTGTTATTAATGATACTGACCTTCTCTATCAGGTCAAGACACTCTGCGTTGTCCATCCAGTCAATTGCTTCCCACTGAACACCTTCCCTGTGAGAAGAAACTCAGGCAGTTATACAAAGGGAGAGTGTTTGTGTTGCTGGGTCGTTCACAAACAGCACCTTCTTCTCTATTCACCTGTTGTATTCCAGCTGCTCCAGGGAGAAGATGTGCTTGTTGAAGTACTCCTGAAGCTTCTCGTTGGCGTAGTTGATGTTAAACTGCTCGAAACGATTCACCTGCAGGCAACGAGACAGAAGCTACGTCGTTAAATAAACGCCATGCCACAGTGAATTCTGACAATGACACGACGTCGTAAAAATGCATTTGACGTTTTCATTAATGTTTCATATTCTAGATCAGGGGTTCTCAAACTTTTTGTGTTCAAGGAACACCTCCTCACCCTCATGTTGCTTAAATACTTTTCTTCAATTTGTCTCTTTAATGCAGTGGAAATATTTGTGTAACATAAATACTTAAGACCTGTTCTTTAATAGTGTTAGTACAATTTTTATTGCAAAACTGTGCCTCTGAAAATGAATGATTACAAGCGATAGAAATAAACTAATTACAACTCATGTACTGATGATGTGGTCCAGTTAATCATTTTGTAAAAATAAAAATCTTTTATTTCTTTTCTTTCTGAGTAGCAACAAAAATAAGAGGCTGAAGAAGCTAAATTAATGTAAAAGACAATCAGAAAACGACCTCTGACCTCAAAGTTTTCAAAGCCAAAGATATCCAGGATGCCAATGGATTTGAAATTTTCTTTTCCTTTGATTTTCTGGTTAATCTTAAGGATGATCCAGGAGAAACACTGGGAATATAACGCCATGGAAACAGAGTCCCTCGAGTCAATGGCCTGCAACACAGAGAACAGAGGCTGTATTGGGGCAGGTGTGCACAAAAGAGAGCCAGGAAAAGAGACTAAAATGATGGTGCATGTGTTGACCTGCTCGATAGTGAGCGGGGAACAGATTTCCTCTCCTCTGAGGATTATGGAGCGCTGAGTCAGGACCTCAGACAGCTGGAAGGCATCCAGACCCAACAGTTCGCTGGCGTTACTCACCACTGGAAACACAAGGGGAGACGTCTTACTCTTCAATCCCTCCAATTCATTCAATCACGCGTTTTACACAAACATCATCCTGACCCTGCTTGGTGGTGATCTGGGCTCCTCCTGCGGTCATGAACTCCAGGTTGCCGAGCTGTAAGACTCCCGACAGCAGCTTAAACATGTCCCTGATCTCCTCCTCCGTGAACTCTAAAACCTTCAGCGCCTCCTGCACAACGACAAGAACAGGAAACGGCAAAGGTTTTTAATGACGGGGTCATCTCAGTTCTTTAGAAGCAAGGAGACAGTCTGTTTCCGTTCAGGAAAAAGGAAGGAGGAATTAAAAAAGAAAAAGTTTTAAACAAAGACTTTGTGTGATCTGTTTGCACTCAGAGTGTGCATTAAGAATGACTCTCAGTTACTACCACACCAATGTTTAGCCTCCAACCTGTTGAACTGACTAGTTTATGTTTTATAATGTTGATTATTTATGATAGCCCTCTTGAATCTGGTTGACATCAAAAGATATGAATTAAAAACATATTCTTTCTGAGATTTTCACTAAAATCCCTCTGGTGGTGCATGAAATATTTTGCTAACAGACAGAAAAAACGAGCACATACAGAAAGACACAAGCAATTGCATGATCACTTGCTTTTTAAGGCAATGGGTGACAATTACCAAGATTTGAATAAGAGTTATAGAAACATTATTTCTCAGAAATAGATGTGTTATTCTCAGAAAAAGAGATGTATTAAAGAACAGCTCAAACATACAGAAAAAGGAAGTATTATTTCATAACTTTACGTTGCTCTTGAGCTTCTGAACACAATCATAACCGAGCAGAGAAATTATATCAGATGTACCATAACACTGTTGTACAGTTCTTTGTCGTTCAGGCTCTTGTCCTTCAGACATCCCGACTGGCTGAGGTAGTGGTAGGATTCAGCAGGGTCCTCCAGGAAGTACAGACCTGTAAGTATTAATACACATATTTGTATCGCATGAGCCTCAGAATGATATTTCATAGGTTTTCCATCATTGTTAGACAACTGTGCTAATGCAAAATTAAGAATAAGCTATAATTCACATAAACAGATAGCTACATTCATTTATTTTTATATGTGTGGTGTTGTTTTATTTGAAGAGATTGCAACAATTAAAGACAAACCAAGCCTTAAAGAATATTTTTAATCAGATTGTTTTTCCACGAAAATATCTACTTCTGGCTCCAAAACTGCTAAATGGCAATGACAAAATGGAGAACTTGATTCAAAAACTAGGGAGCAGTGACACAGAGGATATACCCAAATGCTACAATATTATGTTACATAAAAAGCACAAATAATTCACCACTTTTATAAACAGAAACAAACACGTTAATATATGCAGATATACTTTTATTCTCTTTACTCGCTCCTGCCAGCAGAGCGTAGAAGATGTGGTAGTTCCTCTCTCCGGGGTTTTGTCGTACTACTCGGTTCTACAGAGAAATCAATGCAACAAATCCACCATTGACAAATGACTTCAAATAATTTCAGACATGGCACGGGAACACCAAGGCATGGTTACCTTCTCCAGTAGATCTGGGAGGACGAGAGTCATGGAAACAACAAGCGAGTGAGTTCATAATTACTGCACACTTGATGTTTGTACACGAGGCAGAAATAAGGATACAGTCAATGACGCAGCCTCCTTGGATGTTTCCACACTCAGAGAAGTGAAGCTGGATGAACTTCCCAAAACGGCTGGAGTTGTTGTTGTAAACCGTTTTAGCGTTCCCAAACGCTTCCATGATCGGACTACAAGGAAAACATCAAGTTGAGATCTAGTTTCAAGTATGGCTGTGCATAGAGACATCGATGAACTTAACCATTGTCATAATATCTTAAGAGTGGATGGTTGATGCTAAACATCAGTTATGCTGCTGATGTAAGAAAGGTTTAAACAAGATGAACAGTTTTAGTGACCAACAGTTCAAAGCTTTTATTTAGACGAGCATTTCATTGAGACAGATTAACCAAACCATGTCTTGAAGTGTTTACAGACACGCTCAACAGACGGAAATGTTAAACGTGTCCGTTTACTTGACGTGTACCTGCTCTGCACAATGGCCTGCTCCACCCGCGTGCTCCTCTCTGACGGAGGAGTCCCGACCGAGTTCTGGCTCATCACCGACAGAAACTGGAGCAGCAGCTTGGTGCTCTCCGTCTTCCCTGCCCCCGATTCACCGCTGGGGGACACACACGGATGCACAAACACGATGCAGTTCAATCCCAAACACGCTGACCTTCTCTGACATCTCTGGCTGCTCTGGTTATCTTCTGAGATCTGATAACTACTGAGGGATTTCATTAGCTCCCATCCTAACAGGGATAAAACAAAGGTTGACTGTAACTGAAAGTGCGATTAAATGTTGGACACCACAGGTGGGTCTGAACAGTTTGCTGCATAGGTTAAGAAACCATGTTTATAATAATCACAACTAAGAGAGAGCCACAACACTTGTTTGTTTGTTTGTTTGTTTTAAACTTAAACTTTAGTGTCTTTGACAGATTTATGTGGCAAAATTCCAGCTTCAAATTTGATTTTCTCTTCTGGTAGGTTGTCATGTGACATGATAGCAGTATTACCTGCCTCATTCCATGATGTTAATAATGTCCAACAGATATTCATGAAGTGCACAGTACTCACCAGGCATGTACCAGGTACAAGTAAATGATACATGGTAAATGGACTGTACTTGAGGACGGCTGTGGCTGAGTGGTTAGTCGTCCTCCAATGCAAGAGTTGGGGATTTGAATCCACCAGCAGTCACATGCTGAAGTGTCCCTGGGCAAGACACTGAACCCCTCACTGCCTCTGATGTGTGTCCCATCAGTGTACGAATGTATTAAAACTCTGAATATTCTTTGTAAAACTATAGTAGAGTGCTGTATGAATGGGTAAATGAGGTCACAGATTGTAGTGATAAGCGCTTTGAGTATTACGATAAGATAGAAAGGCACTACATAAGTACAGTCCATTTACTTATATAGCGATTTTTTATCTTATCAAAATACTCTAAGCACTTTACAACACAATCTGTGTCCTCATTTACCCATTCATACAGCACTCTACTATAGTTTTACAAATAAACTGTATAACTGTAACTGTATAATCAGAGTTTTAATACATTCATACACTGATGGGACACATCAGAGGCAGTGAGGGGTTCAGTGTCTTGCCCAGGGACACTTCGGCATGTGACTGCTGGTTGAGTCTGTGTGTAATGTGTATTATTTACACTCATCATGATCAATAACTCTCCTGCGATAACAATCTAAAATGTCCTCCTGCTCATGTCTGTGACGTGTGACATTACCAGTGCCATGTATAATCACTCGTACTGTGACCAGTCAGTGAGGAACAGAAGGAACTGGTTGTTTTTTATATCCGCAAGGGCTGATTGATATTGGTATGATAGAGTTGATATGATGTGGTGACGTGTCTTCAGCAGAGTCCTTGACTCAGATCCACTCCTTCGTGCCTGCAGTGGACCTTTGGATGACAGCTCAGACATGGAGGGGGAGGGGCTGAGGGTATGGACAGGAAGACTTGTCTGGTCCAGAGAGTTAGAGCAGGTCAGGGTTTCACATGGATGAGAGTGTTTTTGAGTGTAATCTTGTAATTGCATGTTCTGTGAATTATTGGACTGCTCTCAAAGCTTTGTCAATAAATCTGATGAACGACACCTTGGTCTGTTCTGAATCTCCTTTTTTCCACCAAAGAGTCGAACCACCAACTCTCCCATTGGATGACTGCCCTAACCACTCAGCCACAGCCGCCCAATAACTACCTGGTTAGTATCAGATAATCGCTTAGAAAAAGACAATTAAGTACCTCCTAAGCATCAGTTATGTACCAGACAAGTGCAAGTAGGTCCCCGATAAGTACCCCGTAAATACCATGTATGGACCTGATAAGTAATTGGAACATACCTAGTAAGTAACCTGAAAGTACCAGGTAAGTATTAGGAAATGGCCTGATATATACTTTGTATGTACTTGATAAGTCCCATATATATACCAGTAAGTGTTTCATAAAAACTAGTTAAGTATGAGATTAGTACCACGTTATTGCCAAACAAATACCCGGAATGTACCTAGTAAGTACCAGATACATACCCTGTAAGTACCTAGTAAGTATGAGGTATGTTTTTGTTAAGTATCACAAAAGTACAAGTTACACTCTGTTAGTCCAGGTAAGTACCAGGCTGTATTAAGTATGGCTATCGTGTTTTGAACTTTGGCCTCACCTGATGAGCACGCACTGGCTGTCGTGGCGTTTCCAGATGCAGCGGTAGCATTCATTGGCCACAGCAAAAATGTGTGGTGGGAGCTCCCCGAGATGGTGCTTGGAGTACAAATCCACCCTCTCTAGATCATACAGACCTGAGATCTGCTTGTATGGGTTAACAGCTGCCAGGATGCTGCCAATGTTGGTCTGGAAAGGTACAATGGGTACAAGTGGGAGAAAATATTTGATCATAAAGCTGAAGTCACATTAAGATAATGACGGAAGGACACACAGTGACTCAAACACTGACCCACACATGAGAAGTTCTTATCATCAGCTTAAGAGAAACCCATGTAAGGACAACATTTCCATTTATAGATAAGCTCACACTCGGGGAGAGTGTCTACATTGCCCCAGTTTCACAGGATTCTCCCAAACGTCCGCTCACAATACGACTGCTAACAATGATAATAGCTTCTGGTCTTGACAATAATTAAATATTCCCATCATTAAGTTTGCAGCTGCAGACAGAGACATCCATCCCCTCAAGATAAAATGAAAAAAGCTGATGCATGAATTAATTCCATTTCATTCATCCGCAGAAACAAATCACTGAGTAATTCATATTTCCTCTTGTGTAATGAGGATGAACCTTAGATTTACTATAAGTGCAAGAATGTTTGTTTTTTTACATAGAATGAACAGAAAAAGTTGTACATATGAGCTTTTGGATGCATTCCCAATGTTTAACATGCAGACTGGTGTGCACACACACATGCACTTACATAGATGCTGTCCTTGTGGTAGCGCTGGTACAGGTTGTGCATGATAGCAGCCTCATGGAGCTCCGCCAGGGCCGACATATCCTCCACGCCATCGATGCTGGACTGGTGCATGGCGCACACCCGCTCCCGGTTGACCTCGGCCTGCTGCAGGTACAGCACCTGTGCACAACGAGACGTAAAAACAGTCCCTTACTGACACTTAAAGATGCTCCCAGAAGTTCATTAAACTTTTATGAACCATTTTTATTTATTTTTTTGTTTTTGCTTTTATTCATGCCTCTGTTTATCTGAGCCTGAGGCCAATAAAAATGGATTTTTCTTCCTCGTCAAACCAAAAAAATGGGATTTGGTTCATGCACTGATGCAAAACAGAAACGCACCAGAAAAAAATAACTGCAGAGTTGTTCCACATTTAGCCCTGACAGGCTACCTGTCACACAACATGGCAAACATCAACATGATGAGAATACAGGGAACTATGGCTACTTCCTCCCAGATTCTGTCTCATCTGTGACGTTCATCGCCATGGCAACTGCAGAATGGGGACAAGACAAGTAGGGAGGAAAAAGAAGGAGACAGAGCCAGAGTTAGGCCAGAAGCCGAGGAGTGTAAGGGGTCAGATGTGGCAGGAGCTGACAGGTGAAAGCAGCTCGGTGTGTATTCAGGTCATTCTGCCTCAGTCCCTCTGTACAGGCCTCTCACACACACAAATATAAATTTACAGCAGATAATTGTTATTCTGTTCCAACAAAGAGGCAGTTCAACCCATTCCGGTGAACAGAGATATGAACCCGTGCCATTTACAGCACCGGTTTGTAAATGTGTCTGTCTCGCAGCCCCATCCTGTGAAGGAGTGTTTGAAAGTTGCAGAACAGATGTGATGGAAGTCTGTTGAGGAGCAGAGGCTCCAGGCGCTCACACTGTTCCAAAATTAACCTACTTCACTCCAGTAACACAGAGCTGTTGCGTGCAGACGACTCTCTCAGGGCAAAGAAAGTCATTTTCGCCAGCTGTCTGCCAGGATGACGTTATTTACGCCCAACGTGTCCAACATGTCGCTTGCTGTTTTATGACTCCTAAATGTCAAAGGGGGACATTCTGGGTCCACTCTGGTGAATGCAGAGGATGGTGGAGCACATAAGTCACTAACCTCGTCCACTCAGCCGTGATGGAATGAAATGAATGTCACTTGTCTTCCATTAGGAAGGACACCACTGATGTAACATTCAACATTTGACCCTGTCTTTTTAGACATTTCTTCTGCCCCTACTATAATCGCAGCACTCAGACGTATGAGCTTTACAGCTAGGGTTAATGTCTGGTTCTGTTTAAATTTTGGTATTGCTATTTAATAATTCTGTTGTAGGTTTAATTAGTGGTAGTATAAAAAATAGCAAAAAAAATCTAACAAATTATTCTTGGTATCCAAACAGTTATGCTATAAGTATTGTATTAACAGGTTTAATTGAAATACTACAGCAGCTTTTCAGTTTTACTCAGCTCACGGCTTCATTTTAAGGTATAAAATAACTAAATTTAGGCTAAAAAAAACTCTAAAAAACCTTTCATATCAGTGATAATCTAAATTATTTCTCTGTGTAAAATGTTTGTATTTTAATTTAGCATTTGTGAATTGTCATCTCACTTTAAAACATAAATAAAAAGTTAAAAGAGACACATTGCCACGTCTTTTCGTTTCAAACCAAATAGTTGTCAGTAATGGGGAAGCTTTAAAAGCTGCATTTCACTTCAAGCTATGATTTTTAACTAAATCTAAGCTAACTTTTGGTTTCTTAACCTAAACAAACAGCAATGAAAGTAAAACTACAAGAATAAAACTACCCTATTTTTCAGCCTACAAGTCCCAGTTTTTTTGCATAATACCCTGCGACATATTTATGGCTTTTTTCCCATATTTATATATCAATTTTTGGCTGTTTTCATTCATTCTGAGTGAAAATATTGAACACTACCATTTTCAGCCACTAGATGGCACTCTAGCAATAAACCGTCAAATTAGCTGCATTTCACTGCGCCGCCCCGGCGAAATGCAGCTAATTTGACCGTCAAAGTGCATTTATTAAGGAAAAGTTCGACTGAGACACATCTTTGCTATAATTTTGAGCAAACAAATAATTGTTTTTAAGTGTTAATCTTATTAAATTCTTGTTAAAGTCCTCCCGTGCACAGTCCCGCGCCCGCCATTAGGCAGCTCGTGGATTTTTGGCACAACACCAGCCCACATTTCTGCGGTGACGCGTAATAGATGTGACTTATATGGCAAAGCGACGTATTTATGTTTTTTCCCACTTTATTAGACATATTTGGACTGATGCGACTTATAGGGCGGAGCGACATGTACGGAGGAAAATACGTTAACTTCAGACTAACTTGCAGTGAGTCTACCTGAGAACGAAGGTCCTGTGGTTTAGTTAATACACATTGCTTCATTGTTGATGTAAAATAAAGATAAGATGTTTGTTTTAAACATGGGGGTTTTAATTTTTTATGACTGTACTGAATAATTATTAAGATAAATGTAATAAAAAAACCATTAATAGATAAACATTGACTCTGCTTGCTTTCATCGTTCTGTTTAGCTTTGTCTCTTTTATGATGCTCTTCCATTGTTTCCCTGAGTTCTGGCAGACATTTTTTATTCCTCTTACATTTTAACATTTCCATCTCTGTCCCACAGTTCCTTCTTTATTCTGCTTGTTTTTCTCTTTCATCACTAATACACTATATGATTCTGGTGGCTGCCTTGAGCCTGCTTTGTTTCTTTCTTCCAAACCTCTCTGATCTCTGCATATAATGTTCATGCGTCAGTTTCACAGAGATGTACTTAAAGCTGAATGGATCAGAGCTGAGAGTCATTTCAATCAGAGAAACAGGCAGTGTTGGGTATTTTATAGCGACGCAGAGTTTTAGGCTTCACACACAAAATAAATCAGACGTATGGATGAGAGAAAAGGAAGCTTGACCCTCACATTTCACAGATTTACTCAGCAGTTCCAGTAAAAATAGTTTTTCACTGAGCAGTTCTTACAGTTTTTTTATTTTTGCCTTTTCTTCATCAAAACGCATCAACTTTGTGATCGTATGAGTTATTAATACAATGTTTTTTACATAATAACATACGGTTGTGTTTAAATGCAGAGCTGCTAATTTTTATTCTATGATTTAATAATAATAATAATAATTTAAATTATTTTTATATATTTACCATTTTCTTTTGATGTTTGGGATTTATTTGTCAAGTGATTAAAACAAATCTGACTATTATGTACTAAATACATTTTTAATATTAAAAAGGACTTTGCCTTGAAAATTATGCTACAGATTATTTGAGCAAACTGATGTTTGAATATTACTGCAGCTACAAATGTTTAATTTTCAATGTACTAAGTTTATAAGACATCTACTTTTACACCCAAATAAAAAGATAGTTTGGAAAAAAAAAATGTGAGGAAAACTCTCAGGTGCTATCACACCACATTTTAGCTCAATACTTGTAAAAATGACTTTTATAGCCATTTTTGTGTTAGCTAAAGTTGACTAGCTGTGGGCTCCAAAAGATAATCAGATGTAGAGGTCCAGTCAACGATTATTTTCTGATGATTATTTTTTAATATTTATAGCGGTTCACGAGATATTTTGCTAACAGACAGACAGGGTTGATGCCAAAGTTGTAAGCAAAGATCTTGTTTGATCTGTTAGTGCTCTGACTATGATTTGGGGATGATGCTCTCTCAACTACCACATCAAAGTTCAGCTTCTTAAGTTGTAGAAAATCATCCAATGGCTACTTTCAATTTTATTTAAATCGGTCCAACAGTTTGAGAGATATTTTACTTACAGACATTTCAATTGCTCATCTTTTCATGATGTAATGCAACAGACTGACTTTCATCTCCTAATGTGATGCGATGAGAACTGATCCAAAACGTCACATAAAGTGAGCAGCGTCCAGGAGGCCACATGTGGAGACTCCTCAGCTGACAGGCTTCCAGCAACATCTCATGGCAAATTCATTTTCCATGTCAAGAGCAGCTTTTTCCTGTCGTTCATTTTTGATAAGTCCGTCAGCCTCTTAGAGTGAAAACGAAGCAGTCCACAGTCAGCAGAGTTACGTCAGGTTGACTGGATGACAAGCTGAAGAAAGCAAGAAGTTTAATATTCCTCTGAGATGAGAGCGTTCACAGCTCAACGTGTTCAGGACTTGCAAAGAAACAATGCATTTTCTCTGAACGTGCATTCAGAGTGCTGAAAAACTGCAGAAATGTGCTGAAGAAGCTGAAACTGGACTGTTGAGGCTAAGAGAAGCAGAACACTAGCTGAAAGCTAAAAGTTGAAAAATGCTAGTGAAAATAGTAAAGATGTAAAAGGACAGCTAAAAGCTAGGGGAAAAGTACTAGCAAAAATGCTAGCTAAATGTAACGAAATGATAGGTATAAACTAAAATTAGGAAAACACTAACTAATCACACTAACTAAAAGAAGTACAACATTAGCTATAAGACAAAGGCAAAAGTAGCTAAAGGCTAGGTAAAAGCTAAAGTATTAATATTCTAGTTAAAAGCAACAATATAAGAAGATAAAACTAAAACAAGCTTGCTGAAGTAGTTTTTAATGAGAATCTATTTTTTTCCAGATATTACAGAGCTCATTGTTGCTATATGGGGAAAGATTTTGTTAATAACGTTAAATACTCCAAATCCGAGGCCATGGTCTTGAGCCGGAAAAGGGTAGAGTGCCCTCTCCAGGTCAGGGAGGAGGTCCTGCCCCAAGTGGAGGAGTTCAAGTATCTTGGGGTCTTGTTCACGAATGAGGGAAAAATGGAGCGTGAGATCGATAGGCGGATAGGTGCAGCGTCTGCAGTGAAGCGGGCGCTGTACAGGTCTGTCGTGGTGAAGAGAGAGCTGAGTCAAAAGGTGAAGCTCTCAATTTACCGATCGATCTACGTTCCTACCCTCATCTATGGTCATGAGCTTTGGGTTGTGACCGAAAGAATGAGATCTCGGATACAAGCGGCCGAAATGAGTTTTCTCCGCAGGGTGTCTGGGCTCTCCCTTAGAGATAGGGTGAGAAGCTCGATCATCCAGGAGGGACTCAGAGTAGAGCCGCTGCTTCTCCACGTCGAGAGGAGCCAGTTGAGGTGGCTTGGGCATCTGGTTAGGATGCCTCCTGGACACCTCCCTGGTGAGGTGTTCCGGACACGTCCCACCGGGAGGAGGCCCAGAGGAAGACCCAGGACACGCTGGAGGGACTACGTTTCTCAGCTGGCCTGGGAACGCCTCGGGATTCCCCCGGAAGAGCTGGCCCAAGTGGCTGGGGAGAGGGAAGTCTGGGCCTCCCTACTTAGGCTGCTACCCCCGCGACCCGACCCCGGATAAGCAGAAGAAAATGGATGGATGGATGGATGGACGTTAAATACTTTGAAAAGTTTTAAATTAACAAAAAGCAAAAACCATCATCAAAATATTGGAATGAGATGAATATTTTGATGATGTTTTGTTAAAACAGCAGAAAGCTGAATCAACGTTCACACATGTATTCTAAAATATACGACACAGAAGCAGATCTGTCCTTTAAACCAGACTGATCTGATACAAGAAGGCTTGAAACATTTTGCTAAAACACAATGTTTGTTTTGATTATTAAAACAGTTTTTTAAAGTTCAATCTCATTTTAATGCAGTTGTTTTGTTTTCCTGTGCCCTCTGCTGCTCCACTTTTGGACACACGTGCACACATGCCGTGCATGCTCTCTGTCTGTAAAGCTCTCTGATGTCTGAAGCTGCTTTGCATGATTCAGGAGCCGAGCCAGGGGAGACGAGCTCTTCATTCGACTTCACACATTAGCTGCAGCGAGAGCCTGACAGAGATAAAAACGGAGAGCCGTGGGCACAGTGACCTACATTCTGTGCACCAGGACAAGCTACCGTATCACACAGGACTGTAGCACCTGCAGCTGACCTTGGGTCTGATCCATCACAGGTTTTTACTGTGTTCTGAACCCTTGAATCAAATTGTACAGGAGCTGCTGCAGCAGCCAGCAGTGTCGCTGATTCTCATCTAACGAAGCTGCGGTGTTTGACTGGAGGAAAGTACAGTGGCCCTAAGGTGTAAATGAACAACATTTGAAAAAACAGAATTGCATTTGGAAAAAAACATAACGACATTAGACAAAACGGAATTAAATTTGAAAAAACGGAATTACGTTACGCCAAAGAGGAAGTGGCTTAAGTGGATGGGGCTGGAATAACATTTGAAAAAAATGGAATCACATTTGAAAAAACGGAATTACAATTGAAAAAATGGAATTACAATTGAAAAAATGGAATTAAATTTGGGGCACCACGGTGGCGCAAACGGCAGAGCCGCTGCCCCCCAGCAAGCAGGCCCCCGGCTCAAATCCCGGTCAAGGTGGCCTCTTTGGAAAGTCCATTTTTTCAAATGAGATTCTGTTTTTTCAAATTGCTTTTATAAACAAGAGAACACGTATGATAAATACAAATACACTGTCCTGTGTTTAAAGCTCCATCACACTTTCTCTACAGTTTCCTTAAACTTTCTACAACCATAAAAAGTAATTATCAAATATTTGTCTGTGTTGTTTTGTCCCTCCCAAATGGGATGATTGCATCATCATTATATGCTGGGATGATTTCAAATTAACAGCAGGTGTGTGGCAGGTTGCACAAAAGCTGAGAGAAATCTGTGACCATGGAAAGAAAACCAAAGTAAAAACTCACAGTCTGAATAAGAAATGGAAACCAAAGACCAATAGTATTTAATAAATACTATTTATTAAAATGAAAACGGTCATTATAAGCAAGGTAACTGACAAGGAGGAACACCAAGAACCCTAAAACTGTGACAGAACATTACCAAAAGGCCTTAAAGAGAAATAACCCTGTGGTACTCATCTCAAACTGCTTCATTTCTTCGGGTTTTTTACAGTTTTACTGCATGACATCATGAAAATAACAGATGTTCTATGGATTTAAATTGTGGCTTATTTGATCCTGAAGAATTCACAAAATAGCAACAAAAAATTGAACCGAACCAAACAGTTGTCCCTCACTACTTTGACTTTTGCGGACTCGCTCTTTAGTATTTTTTCAAAGTAAGATTGAACATGAGGGGAAAAAATGTACATGGCACAATTATCAACTTTAATATTATGTGATTGGGACAGTACTGAATACAGTACTGTACAGTGAAAAATTGACAAAAACATAAAATACTTCGGACAGATGCCGCCATTTTGTAGTTTTCTCTCAATAAGCCTACACTGTATCACCGCTCTTAGAACTACATTTCCCAGAAGCCAACAGGGCCAAGCCCAGAAGCCCCGTTACCTTTTGCACAAATACTAGAGGAAAAGTTTTGATCTGATCGGAAAAAGGTTGGTGCTTTTTACAGTAATTTCAGCGCACAGCGGATGCAGAGAGCCTCAGGAACTCAGTGACCCGGAGCAGAACCGGAGCAGAACCGGTCCTCCAGACTCGTGTGAATCTGAGAGCTGCAAGCCAGCCCACGAGGACTTCCAAGTGGGGTACATGCCGCCGTAGGTCTGGCTTCTCTGTGGAGCCCACTGCCACCACCCTAAGCCAGAAAGCTGAACAGAACCAGCAGGGTATATTTATATACAGTACTGTACACATGTTGTTAAAATGACGTAGGTTTAGGAGTATAGAACATTACAAGAGTGTGAGAAGAGTTTCTAAAGCCTGAAAATATATAAATACTAAAATAAATATAACGTCTCTATACTTGGCTGATTTTCTTCACAGTTTTGGAACGTAACCCCCGCAATAAATGAGGGACTGCTATATTTCTGTAAATCATTCCACTCGTAAAGCGTAGATTGGAAAAATGGTTTGGTGTCATCGCTCTAGAGAACCAGAGGGCAGAACGAAGAAACACTTTCTTTTCATTAGCCACGTTGCTAACAAGAACCAGTGTGTCAGTAATCACTTGAACTCAGTGGTCACTGGAACTAAACGTGTTTACAGCCATGCAGCAAGGAGGGAGACAAACCCTGCAATCTGGTCAAATCTTGTTGTGAATCTGTGAGTAAAACCTCCTCTCCTCCATCCTGCTAATTCTCTATCAAATATTCACCAGCTCCTGCAGAGGCAACATTTGAACCCCAGCTGCTGGCAGAGCTGGGTGAGGTTTGAGCAGGCAGCAGAGAATATGAAACCTATATATTAGGAAACGTTGCATCACTGGATTAGCTGAATCAAAGACATTGACGAACTACTTGCTTCTGATGTTCTTTTGTGAAATAAATTAAGGACGTAAAAAACAAATATCGGTAAATAAAATCTACTTCAAAGCTAAGGAGCAGTGTGTGCATGTCTTTGCACTAATTAAACACGCACAAATCCATATTTTTAAACAGCGTTGCGTTCTTTTAGAGGATTTCAGCAGAAGATTGACTAATACAGCTGCTGAGTTGTGTCTCTGAATACATCCATCCTTCAGCTTTACTCGCTTCTTCCTTTTCGGGTCACAGGGGTCACTGGTGCCCATGTCCAGCAGTTACCCTGGACATGTCCCCAGTCCATCACAGGGACACATAGAGACAAACAACCATTCACTCTCTCTCACACCTAGTTACAATTTAGAGTTCAGTCTAACATGCATGTTTTTGGTCTGAGAGGAAACTGGAGTACCTGGAGAAAACCCATTCGTGCACAGAGAGAACATGCAGACACCACCCAGAAAGGCCCCCAGCTGGGATTTGAGCCGGCAACCTGTTTGCTGAGAGGTAACGGCTCTACCAACTGCGCCACCGTGCTGCAGCCACTGAATACACTCACATGGAAACAAGGATGCACGTTTGTCTTCTTGTTACCTCTCCTCTGGAGGCTGAACGTGAGTCAGAGATGGAGTTTTGAATATGTAGAATAAATCTGAGGAGTAAATTGGGGCAGGAATGTGTAGCATCATAAACAGGAACGGATGAAGCAGCAGCTTCACCGTCATGTTGACCTTTAGGCAGGAGGCCCGGCTCACACCGTGCACTTCACTTGACTTGTTCAAATCCTTTGATTGAAGGAAACACACTGAAGGTAACATGCAGCTGTAAGAACCGGACACATTTGTTTGTTTCTTTTACATCCATCTGATCGATCCACTCATGTTTCCACTCAGTATCTTTATTTAAATCCAGTTCCATAAGTGTCTGTGCGTTTGTTTCACGATGACAGCTCCACAGAGTCAGCTGTGACTGGCGTGTTACGTTCAGGTCATGACTTTATGGGTGTCACGTTTGAAGAAACCATCAACCAGGTGAGAAAAGACAGCGTGAGTTTCAGGGTGCGTTCTTACCTCCCCGTAGTCCGTCGTAACCACGAGAGTCCCATCTCCACAGGAGTTGACGGTGGCAGGAAACAGCTGCTCCTTTTCTCTGACCCAAACACGAGCCCCCTGGATTGAGCACACAAATACCGATGTTGAGTGGATCAGTACAAAACAGACTGATGTCAAGTCTTTAATCCTCTGTTGGACCAAAATTATATTCCAGGCGATGATATCAGTGATATTCTGCCTGACTGCATCAGGCTCAGCTCTTAGCTGATAAACATGAGAAGATGGATCCAGCAACAAGGAGGAGGCAGAGAACACGGAGCAGAGAGTCAGTGAAGCGAATGCAGTTCTGTAAAGAAATGGACCACGTGTGATATAGACCAGCGCACCGAGATTCAATCCTTTATGCTGCTCAGTCTTGTGTTAAACATCCCATATTATTTATGAATAGATAGAACAAATAAATGCAAACAGAGTTACAAACGTCACTTATAGAGAAAAACACAAGATGATTATTAAATGTTTCTTTGGCACTTATTCAATAAATAATGGAACGTGTTCAAGTTAGAAAAAGGCAGTGTAAGTGCTTACTGAATGTGGCAAATTTAATGTTTTATAAACGTATATAAATAATAATTTATTCACCAGTAACTATAGCTCCCTCTGTAGACGTCCAATAGGAATCAAATGCAAAAAAGATAAATGTGGCGAGAAAAAAAGGAGGTCAGTGGGGAAAAGTCCTGACGAAACACAAACATGTTGTTGCATTTGCAGTGAAGTGTTATTCCCATAAAGTTTGCATAAACTAAATGTTGAGTCTCTGTCAGCCACTGAGTATAAAAATAAAAGAGCATGTGGAAGGTTTTACTCAACACGATTACATCTGAAACTCATTTGACCAGCTAAAAACACCAGCTCTCACTGTTCAACTCTCTGGTTCCACAGAGATTAAACCATTTTATTCTAGTATTTTTTTGTTCATTAATATAAAAGTTGTACATTTACTGGTAATTATGTGTGTTAAGCTTCTAAACAGTGTCTTGTTTTTTCTGTTTTCCCTGAGTGTAAATTCAGTGTAATCTAAGAACATGTTGTCAATTTCAGCTGGAAATAAAACGTCCAGTTATAAGTCAGTTTTATTTTGATAAAAATTGAAACAAAACTTTTGGCCTTTTCAGCTTGTTTTCCTCTATATTTGATTATCACAGGTGGTGTGGTTTGGCATCTTGAATAATGCATTAATATTCCTGCAAACTGTCTCAAAAAGTTATATATATATATATATATATATATATATATATATATATATATAAAATAGTAATATATTCTAACCAAGAGAGTACATGTGTTGTACGACTTTCAGCTATGACCACATTCATTTTTAGGTCAGTATAAAGGTGCTGGTCATAAAATTAAAATATAATGAAAATGTTGATTTATTTCCATAATTCCAAAAAGTGAAACTTGTATATTATATTCATTCATTCATTAATTCATTCATTCAACCTTTATTCATACAGGTTAATCCCGTTGAGCCTCGGGGACTCATTTACAAGAGAGACCTGATTTTAACAAAGAATAATGACAACAGTGGACAACAAAGACAACAATAGACACTCTTAAAGGATGTGTACAAATTAATTACATTTTTTAACAAGTGATAATAAAATGGTAATTAAAAGGAAAAGTAGCAAAAAAAACAGCTAGGTTGTAAGGCGGTGTAGAAAAATAATGTTTATTTCTTTTAATGTTGATGATTATAACTGACAACTAATGAAAACCCCAAATTCAGTGTCTCAGAAAATTAGAATATTACTTTAGACCAATAAAAAAAAGATTTTTAGAAATAATGTCCAACTGAAAAGTATAAACATGAAAAGTATGAACATGTACAGCATCAATATTTAGTTGTGGCTCCTTTTGCCTGGATTACTGCAGCAATGCATTGTGTCATGGAGTGGATCAGTCTGTGTCACTGCTCAGGTGTTCTGAGAGTCCAGGTTGTTCTGGTGCCTTCAGCTCTTCTGAATTGTTGGGTCTGGTGTATCACATCTTCCTCTTCACAATACTCCATAGATTTTCTATGGGGTTAAGGTCAAGTGTGTTTGCTGGCCAATTAAAAACAGGGATACATGGTCCTTAAACCAGGTACTGGTAGCTTTGGCACTGTGTGCAGGTGCCAAGTCCTGTTGGAAAATGAAATCTGTATCTCCATAAAGTTGTTCAGCAGCAGGAAGCATGACGTTCTCTAAAACTTCCTGGTAGATGGTTGCATTGACCTTGGACCTCAGAAAACACAGTGGACCAACACCTGCAGATGACATGGCACCCCAAACCATCACTGACTGTGGAAACTTGACACTGGACCTGAAGCAACATGGATTCTGTGCCTCTCCTCTCTTCCTCCAGACTCTGGGACCTTGATTTCCAAAGGAGAACATAACTTTGGACCACTCAGCAGCAGTTCCAGGCGAGACGCTTCTGACGCTGTCTCTTGTTCAAGAGTGGCTTGACACAAGGAAAACGACAACTGAACCCCTTGTCTTGCATACGTCTGTGCGTGGTGGTTCTTAAAGCACTAACTCCAGCTGCAGTCCACTCTTTGTGAATCTCTCCCACATCTTGGAATGGGTTTTGTTTCACAATCCTCTCCAGGGTGCAGTTATCTTTGTTGTTTGCACACTTTTTTCTACCACATCTTTTCCTTCCCTTCACCTCTCTATTAATGTGCTTGGACACAGGGCTCTATGAACAGCCATCCTCTTTAGCAAACTTTTGTGTCTTGCCCTCCTTGTGCATGGTGTCAAAGGTCGTCTTCTGGACAACTGTCAAGTCAGCAGTCTTCCTCATGATTGTGTAGCCAACAGAACTGGACTGAGACCATTTAAAGGCCTTTGCAGGTGTTTTGAGTTAATTAGCTGATTAGAGTGTGGCACCAGGTGTCTTCAATATTGAACCTTTTCACAATATTCTAATTTTCTGAGACATTGCATTTGGGATTTTCATTAGTTGTCAATTATAATCATGTACATTAAAAGAAATAAACATTTGAAATATATCAGTCTGTGTGTAATGAATGACTAATATACAAGTTTCACTTTTGGAATGAAATTACTGAAATAAATAAACTTTTTCATGATGTTCTAATTTTATGACCAGAACCTGTAGTTATCCTGATGCATGCTCAATAATCCAGGTAGAAAAATCTAAAAAAGTTAAATCTGGTCCTCTGGACATTCAAAAAAAAAACAAAAAAACAAAGCAAATCAACAAAAAAATGTAGAAACGTTTCGTCTCTCATCCGAGAGACTTCCTCAGTCTGAGGTGCTGTTTTCAGCTCAGTCTCTTAAATAGCACCTTCTCAGAGTGGATCAACCAGTTTTGCTGCTGACAACCAAAACCAGCTGATCACATGCTCAAGAAGGACCATCAGCCTAACAATGGATCATTAGCACACTGATGGCTGTGTACTATTCACAGAGGGCTGAGTGATACTAGCAATCACAGCATTGTAAGAGGGGGACAGATGAACCCGGAGGCCTCCACCCCTGTTTAATGATGGACGGTTTCTTTTCACAAAGATGGCCTCCTTTACTCCTCTCTCAAACCATCGTTCCTCTCTGTCCAGGATGTGAACATCTTCATCCCTGAAAGAGTGACCGCTGGCCTGGAGATGAGTGTAGACCGCAGAGTCCTGGCCTGATGATGTTGATCTTCTGTGCTGGGCCATCCTTTTGGCCAGTGGCTGTTTTGTTTCCCCGATGTAAGACTGATCACAGCCCTCCTGACACTGAACAGCATACACAACATTGCTCTGTTTGTGCCGGGGGACTGGATCTTTGGGATGAACCAGTCTTTGCCGTAATGTATTTTGGGGTTTAAAAGCCACTGGGACGTTATGTTTAGAAAATAAACGTCTCAGTTTCTCTGATAGTCCCTCAACATATGGAATGACCACTGGTCTGGGTCTGGGTTGGTGAAAAGGAGGAACCCAGACCCAGACCAGTGGTCATTCCACTCCATTTATGCTGATGGTCCTTCTTGAGCATGTGATCAGCTGGTTTTGGTTGTCAGCAGCAAAACTGGTTGATCCACCCTGAGACGGTGCTATTTAAGAGACTGAGCTGAATACAGCACCTCAGACTGAGGAAGTCTCTCGGATGAGAGACGAAACGTTTCTACATTTTTTTGTTGATTTGCTTTGTTTTGTTTGTTTGTTTTTTTTTTATGTCCAGAGGACCAGATTTAACTTTTTTAGATAAACCTGTAGTTATAGTTAATTTTGTGTTTTCTAAGGTTGATTATTTGTATTTGTGGTAACCATATTACATTTGATTGACTCCAAAAACTTATTCAGTTGTAGATGTAGACAAACAAATGCACAAACACAGACACAGGCAAAACCAACATCACCAGCATTTTGCTTTTTAACTGTGAGCTATAAAATTACCAACCAGTTATACCAAAAATAAAAATGGAGGAGCTATTGATAACACCCTGCTTGTCTCATAATCTTTCATTACTGAGCACACAAAAGAGGGTGTTTATCCCGAAAGCTTGAACAGCTGTGAGCAATACAAGCATTGTTTCTGCTTGAATAATTACATGGATGCCATTTGATCAAGTCGCTGCCCCGGAGACCGTCTCTGATGAAGGAACACTTTTTTTAAGAGACTCTCACGTCACATCCCAACAAACGCTTATTAGTTCTCCTCAAAACATGCACCCAGCGTTTTCAGGCATCTCAGGTACATCAGAGTATGACTTGCTGTGAGAGATGCTCTAAAAAACAAGGCTTGTGGAGGAGATTTATACTAAAGGCAGAGGAAGCAGTTGTAGAAACAATGAAACAAGACAAATGAATAAATGATGAGAAGAGCTGCCGACCAAGCACTCCGCAGCTAATGGAGGACTTTTAATTACCTTCTTAGATATGGCGGGACACTAAACAAAATCCCCAGAGAAAATAGATCAAAGATGCAAAGACCACTTTAAAAATGATTTTCCTTTTCTTCAGCTTTTACACTTGCTTCTTTAAAGTGTAATAATCTAGTGCATAATCTACTACAAACAAATGCAACATTCTGTCTGAATTGAGAAAAAACAACGGACCTGGATGT